TCATTCAAAAATTAAATTTTTATATTACGGCTTAGTGGAATAGGTTTAATTAAGTAAAATTTTCATTTTTTTTTTTATTTTAAAACATTTACCTTAAAATAAGGAAGACTTCTGAACTAAGTTTTTGGTATTAATTTTACACGAAAGTTCAAAAGTATTAAATTATTTATGATAGTTTAAGCTTGAACATTTAGTAAAAAGTTTTCCATAGATTTTTCTTATCTTAAAAATATCGAAAATACATTCGTATTATTTTCTTTTAGACATTTTGAGAACAACATTTGATAGTTATAACAAGAATAACGTTTTTAGTTATTTTATATTATCTTCTTCTTCACCTTTTCTCACTACTATACAAGTCGACCGTCCTTCACTTTCAAAAAGCTCTGTTCTATGTACTTTTATTTTATTTACATCCAAAATTTTTATATAATTTTCTAATTTAACTATTGATTTTTTTCTTCGGTTTTCCTTTCAACATTTTTGTCATAGCTACTATCACTGAATAGTGAATCACTTCACTTAATTATAAGTTATAATTGTTGTTATAATTTATAACACAACATCAGGCCTATATATTGTTTTTCATGTTATCTATGTAAAGACTCCTTACTGCCCCTAATAAATTATTTTCTTATTCTATTTTCCCTAGTTCTCTTTTTGCATTTTTCTAAACAACGCATCTCTGCTACGCCCACTCTCTGTTACATTTATTGGCTACTGCCTAACATTCCAATCCATAGAACATTAAATAGGCCTCACAACTGTTATTTACAATCTATCTTTTAACCTCAATATCACACAACATGCTTAACGTTTCTTTCTTCTTTATCTGTCCACACATAGTCCATTTCTATCATAATTTTTAAAATACAATATTCTTTTGTACTACTGTGGTCTGTGACTGATCATAGGTAATTTAACCTATTCCTTTTATACACTACATCATCCCTATCTTCATCGTGTACCTTGCGCTATACATTTAAAAATATAGGTTGATTGTTCTTAAAGTCTTTGTTCATACATATACAATGATTTATCATTGAATAAAATTTAACACATTTATTAGTTTCTCAATGACGAAGTGTACTCAAAATAATAAGGTACACTCAAAACCTATTATGAAATGTTCTCTTATTATAAAATTCTCTAGTTTTATTTTTATTTATTACAGTTTATCAACATTAATTATTATATTGTATAATATTAATACCTTATAAGTAAGGTGAGTTGTATACTTATATTAATAATACAAACGATTTGTACTGTAAATTATTAGTTATTACCTAAATCATCATAGATCATGATTTGGCCATAAAGCATTACATACACTTTAAACTATATTAACTGTGAAGTTAATTTTATTGATATTTCAATGTTATCTCAGTTAAATAGTATATATTATAATATATTAAAATACATCAAATACTTCATTATATGTTTTAATGCTATAGTTATTCTCAAAGTCATAGTCATGCCACAGAATTAATAATATTCAATTTATTTAATCAGTTTTTTACACTGACTACTATAAGTTATCATTCTTCACAATAACTAAACAAAATTTAACAATAATAATGAAGTAATTGTTATTGATTGTATTATATTAGTCATATTATATATTAAGTAAATCAGTATCTACATTTTACGGTATAACAAGATAAAAAAAATTAATAAATAATCAAAAATCCGGGAACTAGCTTTTGCTTTATGGTAGATTTTTAATGTAATACGTTAATTGAGTAGCACTGCGTAATAGATGCGTTAAATTTTAATTCAATAATAATTAATTGTAAATAGAAAACGATTTTGAGTAATAAAAATGAATAGATCAGCATACATTTTTAAGCAGCTTTTTATTTTAAATTAATATTATTATTAGTATTTTATTAATTGGACAGCTTGAACTAAATCTTTGTAAAGAAATTGTACAATATTAGCTATGAATTATAAGACAATATCGATGTACTGCAGAAATATATATGAACAGATGATAAAATATATAGTATGTTAAAATATTTTAAAAATTTCAACATGTATAAAAAATAAATAATTTATACATAATGATGGAAAGTTTTAAATTTTTACGATTAATAATATTTTTAATTGCATCATCAATTACTAAACTGATCTTGTAAAAATCGTTGACCATTTTTGTTAAAATTTAAACTTTAAACGCTTATAAAAGAAATTTTGAATATGTATTTTTAATATTTTTAAATTTCTATAAGTTTGTATATTTTTGTAATTTTGACGAATTTTATTAAAATGTTTAAGAACAAATTTTTAAACAAGAAATAAAAATAATATCAAATTGATCTAAAATTATAAAATTTTCAAATATTAGAAAAACGCCAAAATATTTTGAAAACTAGGTATATCGTAGCTATAAAAAAAAAAAATTAAAGATTTATTAATAATTTCAAGTTACTACGATTATTTCTTTCTCAATTATAAGAAGAAAACTAACTTGATTTTGTAAAACTTTGTAGTATTTTTTCTATTTTAATTTTTGACTCGAAAAATAACTAAATCAAATTTTCTAAAAACACTCAATGTCGAAGTAAATTTTCTTCTCCATAATATGATTTCTGTATTAATATTTTGTGACCGACACAAAAAAATATATTTAAAAACCAACAGATACATTCCTTACTCCATACAGACTAAAATAAAATCATTTTTGTCTAAATATACTTCATACTTTGTATATTAATTTCTTAGAACTGAATTCCATTCATATTTATATAATATCAATGATTTTATATGTTGATTGTATTAGTAGTATTATTTGTAAATATTTTAATAACATGAGTTTTATAATAGTTAATATGATTACTGGGTATTATGAAGCTGCAATAGTAATAGACTAGCAAACGATTCTAATTTTAATAATAATATTACATCCCCAACAATATATGAAATTTTTTTAAATAATTAATTTCTTCAAATAACGTAGAATCTCTGAATATTCATACACAATGTTAATTTATCATATTATGTTACTTCCAGTTTTGGAATGATTTAATACCAAACACCAACATTAACCTTCCATTAAAATTTAAATTTCTTTCTGATTTCACTTCTATTATTAATCCTCTCCATTTTTTCAACACGGTCTTTAACAAAATGTGCTTATCTAGTAAAATTATCAAAATATTTCAATCTACATTAAATGATTGGAGCATTAAAATAAACACGGTTCGATTTTATTTTTTATTTAATCGTATATACATCATGTACAGTGTTATTTGTACGATTAAATTTACCAAGTATCAGCTAACCTAAACTACGGTTGTATACTTCTACCATAATATAAATAAAATGGTAATTTTATAATATTGCGTAACAGGAATAATCATTTTATAAGAATAATTTCAAAAATTATAAAAAAATAAATGAGTATTTGATTTGTTTAGTCATGCTTTGCTTATACTTTGACGTAACATACTATATATAGGTGTGTAATGTTAAAATATTATATAAATCGGGGATCAATCGTCTCTATATAGGAAAAAAATTTTATACTAATTCAAAATTTTAAAAATATTTAATGATTTATTTTTTATTTTTGATGAAGTGATTAATATTATATTTACACTTACATACATCCTTCAAAAAAAAAAAAAAAAAAAACAATTACCTAATCATTATTATTTATTTATCATATTAATAAAAACCAATTACATTAAAAGTATATTATAGATTTAATGAATATTAATTACTCAAAAATAGTATTCTAAACGATTACTTGTAAATTTCAAATTGAATTTGAATAAGCTACAATTATTTATTAATTATTTCCTTAATAATATTTGCATAATGTTAATTAATTTATAATTTAAATTCATATAGATTTTTATTTATTTATTTTACATGGTAATAAGTTATAATTTCTTTTGTTCATTATATATAGTATAAATGAAAAAAAAAAATTAAATTAAATTAAACAACTTAAATTCATTGATCTTATTTAAACTATCATTTAATGAGAAAAGATTACAAAAAAAATTCAGATTTTATATTATTTAAATTTTATATTTCTGCTGATAATAATCTAGTGTTAAAAGCAGTTTAATTGTTGATTCTAAAATATGTAATAATTTTGGTACATTTATTAATTTTTCTAACCTATTAACCTATGAATAATACAATAAATTACAACACGCATAATGCATATCAGCATATTATGTATTTGTATTAGAACTTACAGTAATTTTATTACTTTAATTTAATTTTTATTACTCTAAGATAAGAATAGCCAGAAAAAAATAACTACAACTTCTTTTACTACTATATAATATAAAAATCTGTGCAAATAACATGAATGAAATATAAAATAAATTATTAAATGATGACACTTTGGAATTATTAATAACTATTAAAAGTGTTGTAAAATTAATTCTAATATGTATATATTATAAAAAAACTTTTTGTAAATTGTGAATATTTGTTAACATAGTTTATGCATGTAATTTAAATTATATACTTTTTTTTTTTTTTTATTCTTTTTCCAAATTTTTTAAGTAATATTATTATGCTTTAATAAAATTAAATACGCCAATTAATTTATTTCTATGGGTTAATTATAATGAAAAACACTTGTATATCTTTAATGTTATAAATATATATATCATCGCACTAAATATGTCGGAAATTAATACAAATAATATTTTTCACACTTTGGTAGAAAGTAAACATAGTTCAAGGAAGATTAGTTACGGAATTTATATTTTCCCTTTTATTGCACGTGCTCGAAAAACTATTGAAGTTTTTTATGTATATTTACCCATATTAGACTATACACTTCAATACATAACTGCTTTTAAATTATAGTAAAAAAAAAGATCGAATTTCGATAATTCACTTGTATAAAAAAATTTAGTCAATTATAGAATAGACGATAAACCTAATCATTAAATATTATTTATTATTTTTCGATAGTAAATACAAAATTTGCTAAAATTATACTTGAAAATTACTCTTAATTATGTTTCTAGATGCAGCCATTTCAAAATATGTACATCCGATAAAACCGCATAAAATGTATTATGACACTCCAAGCTAAAGTTCAACAACTAGAGGTAAATTGTTAATTTTGATAATTATTATTTAACTAAAATATGTATAAATTATTTCTAGCTTCAAGAATACATTGATTTATTATATGATTAAAATTTAGATTATTTATTCTTATTTATGTTTAATGATTTGCTATAGTTTTAATTTATTTGGTTTGTTTTTGTTGATTTTGTGAGACCAAGTGTATAATATATTATACAAACATAATTTATAACTAAAGAGTGATTAATGATTATCTTAAACTAATTATATGTAATAACTTTTAGTTTTTATGGTAATTTAGTTAATTCTACCAGTTATTATATTTTATTTTTTATAACTTATCAACACAATACTTACTAACATATGTTACTATTTTTGTTTGTTAAAATGTATTGTTAAATGTTTTAAAAATAAAACATAAATATTTACGTATGCAATTCATTATAACGAATAATGGTTAATTATCCAACAACTTAATCATCTTCGAATATTCTCATAATATACTGATAAATGATCAATCATAAACCATATATATATAACTATATGGTATAACTATCTAAATGTTTTTTGACTAAACACACACTCATTCGCTGGGTATCTCCGGTGACACTGGACCTGAGATCCGGAGTCAAGGCCATCCGAGGTATCTTTAAACGCAAAACCTAGCTCAACTGAAACTTTATTTGTTATATAGATATAAATGTAAATAATTTGTTTTTTCTCTTTTGAACATTAATACGTACATTGAATATAATTTAGTATAATATATTACCTTATACTAAATATACACAACTAAAAACAAAAAAAGATAAAAACTATTAGAATATATAGATTATATATGCTATTTATGTGTTCAAACGCAGTTTTACTCACATATAATATCGCATATGAACTTGAACATGGATGCTATATGAATTGTTCTGACGACATTTATTTTATTGCCCCTGTTTTTCCATCGTACGTTATACAAATGACCTTGCTTTGCATTCTTATCACAACCTTATTCAAATAAGTTAAACCTTTTTAGTTTAAAATACACATTTGAAAAACCGATTACTAACATTTTTTATTGGGTGTGATTATACTAATCAATCAAATTATCTATTTAGAATCTGTCATGAAGACCCCTCCAAATAAATTCTCCAGCTTTATTAAATATCAAACTATACAATTGTGATGTGGTGTGGCGCGGTGGTTGGTCACAATCACTAATGTGTTCTGAAGACAAGCATCGGCCGACGTCGCTAGCTGTTGGATAGGTGACCACCCGAGTTTTTAGTAACGAATCCATAGCGCACACACGTACTACACAGACGGTGTTCCAATCCTACTAACCAAATCTTACACAAAAAAATTCTACTGTTTCTATCTACAACTATAATGGCCTTGGTTTCTTGGCTTAAATAAGATTAATAATAAAAATAATAAAAAACTAAAAAATTAAATTAGGCGAGCTAATTTTTATTTATTTTTATTAAGCAATCAACCGTATACGAAAAAAAAAAAAATCAGAAATAACTGTAGTTACATAGTTTACTATATTATAAATTATAATGTATGGAGATGGAATCGATTAATGAGTTATGCAGTATAAAATTTTCGAGGGAACTTAAAACATGTATTCCTTATAGTTATAAATTGTTACAATATAAAAATTTAAAATGTATTATTTATTTGTGTTAATATTTTTTTAATTTTAAGGCGTCGAACTACCACGATGCCGTCTATGCAAATGTTTGGACGTAGATGGCTTGCCGGTACAGACGATTTGGTATTTCCAGGATTATTGGAGCTTTTAATGCGAGGAATATGGTGAGTTATTTTTACATACTTATCTATGGTTTTTTCTAAACAAAAAATTTATTGTAAATACTAAATAATTTAATACATATTATTTATCACATAAAAGAAGTTTTTGGATGTTTTCGTAATAAATACATAATTTACGACAGTATTAATTATCAATTATTCCAAGAATCTATCTTTTTTTTTAGTAACCTACTCCAGTATTATAAATAGATACAATACGTAGGCACCTTTTTGTTTGAAATATAATTGGAATAAGTAATTTAAAAAAGATAGATTTTTGAAATAATTGATACTTATAATACTGCCATGCCTAATAAATAAGATTTATAAATAAATATCGATCTGGTAGGAAAATGTCAATTAAAAATAATATGATTATTTAAGCGATTGCCATTTGTCCAATCATTAGTGATGTACTGCCGTCGCTTCGCTTCGCTAATTATTGTTAGTATCCAATACTTGGTGAAAAACCACATGTAAAATTTTACAGATTTTATACTTACATTATTTTAACTTAAAAAAAAAAACCGCCAGGTACTCAAGTGAAAATTTATTATAATCGAAACCATCATTTTATATGTAGAATAAATTCAAAATATATTATACACAAGGTATTATTTAATATTAAATATTAAAGATTGTTTTGCTAAATGGTCTCCTCTTTATGTATTTAAACTTTTATGTCATTGTTTTTAATTGTCTGTTAACTATTTCAGTTTTTTTTTTATTTACAACAGATTGTAAATATATTTTAATATTAATAAAAAGATATATATATATAAAGTATATATGGTTTATCGTATATATGACAATTTAAATAAATACACGAACCTATATATAATGATGTGAGTAAACAAGAAATATCTTTAAATCTAATTCATCCACGCTTGCTTAGAATTCAAAGACCTCTTCCTTCCTACCAAATAACTATTTATTTAGTTTGTTGTTAAGTTTAACAATGTTAACAAAGATTGGTGTAATTGATCATGGTGAAAATCGGAAAATTCTGGGTATTTACATATATTGTAATACGTATAATCATTAATTAATTAAGAGCATATACGAAAACAGAACTACTTTTGCCCACCAACCACTCTTATTTCGACATTTTAATAATTAACAATTACCTACTCCCATAATCATATAAAAACGGTCTAATGTCTAGTCAAAAGCATCTTTCCTTCAATGAATCAAAACCAAAAAGAAATATTCTGTTTTTAATACACCTAGCGATTTTCTATAATGACTGACTCTCTTAGGTATTTCTATATTATTTGTTTAATGTATGTATCCAGAAAAATACATAAATATATTTTATTATTTAAATTTATTCCCTAAGTAAATGGGTTTTATGAGTTTATTACGTTACGAAATAAATATTTAATAAATTATTTATGTAAACATCACATAAAACCTATTGATTTAGGGAAGTATTTGAATTAATTAATGATTTATTTATTTTCATCAATATATACGCCTATATTTTTAAAATATAATGTTTAATAACGGCACTTATTGCGTTAAATATTTATAAATTGTTATACAATATGAATATGTGAATATGCGTTTGTTATAAAATATGCACGATTTTTAATCTTTCAATAAATTAATTCATACATATTTATTGTACATTTATACCTATTGTGCAAATCAATTAAAAAATGTTACCCTTATAACAATTGTATATTTATAACATTATGTAATATATTATATTTAATATCATTACTTACTTTATGTCTTATCCGCCAGAAACTATACAAATATTTCAAGGTGGCCGTCTAATTTGTACTTTTGATAATGCGCCTCTAGGTAGATACATATATTTAGATATATGAAATGTTAGTATGTTACCAACGTAATTACGTCTAATTTTGATGGCAATCATATACTTATGTGTGTATACCTATTATATATGCATAATGCCCGTAATAATAAACTGTATGATGTCGATTATATTATATAACCAACATCACGCATATATACCATCCTTGTCCTTTTTATAATGTCTGTACAAATATATATTACTAAGTCGGTGCATTAACATTATAAAAATAACGATCACTATTATGTTTTAGAATTTCTTTATTAACCTCAAAGAAATATAACTTATGTTTATGATATAGGGCATAGTTTCTCTTATATACATTACAATACCAAGCCTCATAAAGAAAACTTAAAATGTTCTACATCCTACCTGAATCCCTCAACCGGTATAATACCGAATTATACAATTTCCATCCATAAAAATATAAAATCTACTCAAAGTTAATCAAAATTATGTTCTAAATTATTTAATAGTTGTACTTGTAATAAAAATCCAATAGTCACAGTTTTCTCGAGGGTTATCGAAATTTAAAAAGTATTATATTTTAAACGTTATGCACTTTTTAGTTATTTATCAAAATAAATAATAATCGTTATAAATTTAAGTGAAACGGTAATACTATAATAGCTAATAATATCTGGAGATTTTACTCTTAATACGAACTTTTTATTTTTTTATTACCTACTATTAGTACATCGTTATTATTATTTTTTTATGAATAGTCATTGAAAAATTAATTTTTTTGGCTGTGTGCTGTTTTACTATAAATCGGTTCAAACATTAATATCTTTCTTTAAATTTATAATTTTATATGGGTACCTAATACCTATATTATATTTTCTATGGTATTATTATTTTTTCAAATAAAAGTTATTATTTTTGCCTGTAACTTCAAGAATAAAATGTTATACAGAATTGCAGAAATAAAATTGAAGCATTAAATTGGGTACTTTTAGTTTTATAGTAGACGAAAATAAATTATTACGTTCATTTGACGATTCTAAATTTTATTTATAAATGAAAAAATAGTAAAAATGATGTATTTTCTTCAAAAATAATTGACAGTTTTCTTTGAAACTATTAAGAAATTTTAATAATGCTATCTTTTAAATAAATACTATATTTGTTGAATTTCTATGTATACAATTTTAAGTATACAAAACTCATTTATTTTAATTTTACAAAAAAACATCAATAATAAAAAAATTACAACTACCTAGGTATTAAGAAGTTTAATATTCGCTATAAATGTAAACATTTAAAAAAAAATTTATATAGATCTAGAATATGAAAGTTATATCAAGACTAATAAGTTTATAATGTAGAATTTTTCAAATTTTGTTTGACTGCTATTGTTGATTTTATAAAATTATCCTAATTTCCTAACCCCATATTGTCACACGAAATTGTTTATATATTACACATAATTTCATTTTTTTATGTAGAATTGTGGAACACTTGTTTTCATGATATATAGGCATAATATATAATGGTTAATTTTCTTATTGACCATAAAATAAAAACCATAGTTTAATATGTACGAAAGCATAGTTAAATTATCTAAAGTATTTTCAGTCTAAATTCAAGGTCAGAAATTACTGACATTTTATTGTTTAAAAAATGTGTGAAATCTGCATATTCACAAAAATTATTTCTGTTTAACCGTTCCCCTCTTTAATTTTTGCTCTACTATTTTTTAAACGAACGTTAAGAATTATTATATTACTAAATAATTGAAGCAATTTAAAAATAAAATACAAGGTTAGAGTTACATGAGTTGTATTAGATTGTGTTCAAGTAACTAGAATAAAATACGAATCAATAAATCAAAGTCCACGAACCTACCCTATTCGTGGTTATTATTTACCTAATATATTATTCAAGCACATTAATAAAAAAATAATACAAGTAATTAATTAGTATGATACAGAATGTGGTAAAGACAGTGCAGTTTTAAAAGGCTATTTAAAAAAAAATTACGTATTTAACAGTAATAAAGTTTGTATTATTTTATTGGATACCATTCGGTAAACTGTTTTATGCATCAAGTCATAATAATGACATCAGAAAGATTTTAACTCTATTAGCAGTGATACATTGTTAAAGGCGATTTCTGAAATTTTTGGCCACATTTTTCTGCTGGCTCACCTAATTTTAGCAATCTATTAACTCTTTCCTGTAAGGCTGAAGAAAAAAAATTTTAATTGACCTCACGCCTTTGAAGAACATAAAGATTTAGTTCGGGAAGAAATCACCTTCATCAATGTATTGCTGCCAAATGCCCAGTGCCGGATCTAACATTTTTTTAACTCGGGGCAAAATATGAAATTGGCGCCCTTCTATATCAATAACCTTTTTTTTTTTTACTTATTACATAATTAAAAATTTGGGCCCCTTTATGACTAGTATTCAGGGCACGTGCCCCGGATTGCCCCCTCCCTAGATCCAGTGCTGCAAATGCCATCACCTTTTTTACGTCATTTTCAGAACTTAATTTATAAAATGGCATGGTGTACTAAATAAAATAAAATAAACCTGTACATTTTTATAGCCTTTTAAAACTGCACTGTTTTTTTTTTTCAAATTAAAAAAATATAGCTAATTTATAATATGAACTCTCATTTGAACATAATGGATTTTTCATAATTCATAATATAGTGTCTTGCAGTAAGAATATTTTAGTCTTATGTTTTTTTCACTGTCAATCTGATTAATAAATAGGTTACTAAAGCTAAATTCTTCCTTTCTGCAGCCATATGAAAATATTTTTAAAAATTGATGGCATTTCCTTCGATCAGAACTCGGCATCTTTATTTCTTGGACAATCTTGGGTAACTAAAACGTCTTAATCTTCATGTCAACTTGAAAAAATGCCAAATAATGACCATCTCTAGACAAGCTTCTCCCACATAATTTCCTTATACCCTTCTTAATGGTACACCCCTCAAGCGGTTTTTTCTATTTATAGATCTTGGTAATTAATTTTCCCCCAAATTAAACTTTAATGTTCATATCAATACTATTAAACTAAGCGCTAAAATTACTAGGTTTTATTAAATCTAGCACCAAAATGTTTACTACCATCAATTGCCTACGCACATTTTACTTTGCATTAGTTCGATCTACATTAGATTACAGTTCTGTTATTTGTAATCCTTATTTGGTTAAAAATCAATTAAAGTTAAAATGTGTTAAAAATTGTTTCATCTCTTATATATCATCTATTTCACCATTACTCATCATTTTCTCTATGAATTAAAATAATAATTTATTATATTAATTGTTTAAGTTGAGTCATCTTTGGACGTATTTAATTTTCATATATACAATATTGTATGATATGTAATATGTATTACTTATATTATTCATTAATCATCACAATATAAAGGATACCCCGTCGGAGTATCACTTTATCATAATTATTTCGGTATTATACACTCATAGTATGATCAAATTGTTTGGATATTTTTTGTATGATTTAATTCTGTGAATTTTTTTATAATTTCGAAACTATTTTAACACACAGTTATGACAATGAAATTATACTATAAGTATACTATACAAATATAATGTACAGGATTATAAGTATCTAATTTTTTTGAAATCAATTAATTTAACATTTTTAAAGTAGATATTATAAAACAATACTTAACATTAATCTGTCTATTACATTAGTTATAAATGACGTATTTTAACTATGTATAAACGTATTTTATACCATTTCTAATAACCTCAATACAAATAAACAATGTCTATACTCTATAGTCTATGGTTTAAGAAAAATATTATTTAAGCTATGAAATCATGACAGTTTCGTCTATCTAGAGGTTAAATTGTCATTTAAATATTATTTGTATGCTATACATTTTTCGAAAAATTTTAAATTTAAATTTTTGTTTTTTGTTACACGCATTAATGTATAATTTAGAACTACATTAATTTCAACCTGCTGTAAACAACACTATAAAAGTATGTTTATGCATATTACAAATCAATTTACCAATGTTTTGGTACAAACTTTTATAGATTTATTTGATAAAATATTATTTACGTTTATCAAAATATAATTATAAAATCAACTAATATTACCAATATACAAGTAAAAAAAAAAGAATATATGTATTAGTGTGAGTAGTATGAGTATACTAATTATGTATATTTTATTTATTTTTTTAAATATTTAAAACATTATGGCTAATGTATTGTAACATATCACACTTTTTATGACCAGATTAGACGAATGCTATATTTGACATTTTTACGGTTGGGTCGTCACCACACACCGAGACCGAAATCGGAGTTTTCTGGATTTTATTGTTATGCGAAATGTATGTATAAGATCATTTAAATAGGTAAGAAAATAAAATTAAAAATAAATAAAAACAACATGTGAGGTAAGAATTGAAAATAAATTATTTTAATAAATTTAAAATTATTACATAACCTTGAAGAAAAGCCTCACGATGTAAAGACTTTGATAAATTGAATAATAATTAAAATAACATGGGATTATTTCTTCATGTATATAATCATCAATTACGAAGAACTATGGCTGTTGATTAAAATAATACAATAAAATAAAAATATAAAACAAATAAATATTATATCGATTGGTGTTTTATATATATATATATATTATTTTATATAATATATAATATGTCGCATCTCGCGGCTACAGCGCGCCACAGGCTACCGCTTGATATAATTTAAAAATAATAATAAAAATAATATTTTATCGAAATAATTATAATAATATGCATAAGAGAAAAGAAAAACGAATACCGGTCAAAGTGTGATTATTATATAATTTTTATGTTGTACTTACATCATTCCTAGAGATCCCATATTTATGGATGCACTAGAAATTAGAATAAACAAACATGATTACTCCATATGATCGTATATGTATAGGTATACCGAGAAATGTCGTGTATAGTCGGTTTCACACATTGACCGGAACAAGAAAGAAAAAAATTATCGTCATGTAAAGACGGCGGACGATCAAGAGAAAAAAAGATAATAATAATAAATAGATAATTGTCCAGTATTTGACATAATATATAATTAGCATAATCGACGAATCGATATGTACTCTTGGTGTTATCATCATGAAGCCATTTCAAACGTTATACACTATAGTATTTAAATATTAGGATAAGTAGATACATATATTTTTTATTTTAAAATCTAAATTAAATCCATGAAACTATATTATCATAGTTATGTTTTATTTTGCATGTTTGATATAATGATAAACTGCTAAATTTTACTGGTTAGGGTAATATACATTATTTTTACGCTAATCATAAAAACTGTCCTAAACAGACAATTTTTTTCTTCATTTACCATTTCACCACTAGTTAAACGTTTAATTGAAACGTTCGTAGATTGGGTTTTTCAAACTTGCATGATGATAACGAAAATTCTCGACAGTAAGTGACCATTCATCTAATAAATAAACGTTTCAAATAATATTTAAATTGACTGCTATTTTATTAAAATTACAATTTATATTATGTAAATTTTGACCTCGAGGCTTGTCTGATGACAATTATAATATTTAAAATACACAGTAATATTTATTAACTCGAACTATTTTAAGTTACCTACTTACGATTTTATTAATGCCTAATTGACCTTATGTAACTCCGTTATATTAATGAATTTATCCGATTATTGAGAAAGAAAATTCTTCTCAAGATTGTTATATACTTCTACCATTTTTTTTTTTTTTTTTTTTTTTTTTTAATTATAGAATGTAGTATCATAAGGAAATAATAGTGTTACAAAATATACACTAGAAAATATCATCAGTTAAGATATAGTTGAAGGAAAAGCGAAGCGTGTATATTTTATTATTGTTTATAATATATAATATTCATATAAGAAGGGAAATTCAAAAGTGTTAAATTAAAATCTTACGATACTGCAGTTGCACGTCGTGTATTGTAATGGGAAAGCAATATTAAGTGTTAGCGGACACGGTCAATCAACCGGAAGAAACAGTAACGCACGATTCGAAACGACTCCGTCTAGTTCCGGTATAGTGATGGCTAATATACATAGTGGGAGTACCTATAATATAATTTACAAACCTAAGATGTGTCAGGTGGGAGCTGAGAAGTCTAGGTGAGAGTAGAGTAGCTATTAAGTAGGCATTAACTATTTCGCTATCAACGGGTGCGCAGGTGAACTGAACAGTAAACACGTCTCTGAAAATACGGCTGTAAGTTGTTCCTATTCAATATTTTGATCGGAAACAATAGATAAAACAAACTGCGGTATTTAACGGTATTGCCACTGAATCGATTCAAATGTTTTTGAATAGTTGAATTATTTATCGTGTCAACCTCATAATAGTCGTTGTCCGAATGCCGGTCATTGGCTTTGTAATAAAGACAACAATAAGTCGATATTATAATACGCACATCACGAAACATTTCCTTGTTTAAACCAAAACTACTCTCGTACACAACAATAGTAACTCTGTTGTTTAATATTATTCAATATATTTATACTTTATAGCTAATGGTTACCTAATAACGAACACATAATTATTATTTTAAAATTCAAAATATATCCATAGGTTATGCCCTTTGTGGGTATACACTATGTCTTAGCTATATTAACAATTTATTGTGATTCCACCAATTCTGTGATTTTAGGCTAACATTGATGAGTTGTGTATTGTGCCGCTACTATCAATGGACATTCAATTGTTTGACCGGCGGTCTTTTGGTCAGAGTTTACCTAATTGGGATAGTAGTAATGCATTCCATAATCATTCTGCTTGTGATGGTTTTGGTGAATCGGAGTGCCCAAGGTGCTATATACGACACAAAAGCTAGACGTGTCGTTCCACATCTTCTAGTTGCTAAGTATGAATTATTAAGAACGGCTAACTAAACTTGTATTTTTTATTTATATATATATATATATATATATTTTATACATTTTTTATAGGATTATTTTACTCTTACCTGAGATTGCATTAAATGTGCTTGGAACTATATGGACTTATACAAATTGTATACAATGTGATAGTGAACACTTTACGAGTACCGTAGTGGAAAGTAAATATAATTCATTGTGTGTTGTTAATTTCAATCATTAAAAACTACTAATGTATTAATGATTAAAAAATTTATCGATTATTTTAGTTGGAGTACTATTCAATTGGGTCATGCTGGGAGGTTTGGTATTCGTACTAGCCATGGTGTTAGATCCAGTTGGGTCATTAAAACTTCAAGAAGGAGCCAATGGTAATGTAGATACAGATATGGTGTTACACCGAAAAGTCACTCGTATTTGGGTGAGGCGTTTTAGATGGTTCTTTTGTTGGTTGATTAGAGATGAACATTCGCATGAAGCATTTTCTCAAGCAGCCGGTCAGTAATATAGACTTTAAATTACACATTTCAATAAAAAAGATGCCAATTAAATTTTTTTTTCATCTAATTATTTTTAGGATTGATGAGTTCTATGTTCAGAAACACAGATATTGTACCATCAGACTTTATTGCTGGTTTTGTGTTATTGAGAGTAAAGCAAAAGCGTGAGTCCAGAGAACAAAGACGACTTGCACTCTTAGCTGAACAAAGATACAATTGCACATCTAGTAAGTCAATATAAAATCATATAAATTAAATAATTTAAATAATTTAATATTTTTCTTTCAGTTGTTAATGAATGTTTTACTGGAAAACCAAGTTGGATGTGTCTTAAAAAAGCTAGGCATTACCTCCAATTATCTGTTGCTATTTATGGTTGGCCATTCTTGATTTATCGTTATTGTATAACAGGGTTATTTAAAATGATGCCCAAGTTTTTTTGCTGTGCTTGCTTTAGGTAAATTGTTCAATTTAATTTCAACTAAAGTAAATCAATCATGATTAATTTTTTGCATAGAACTAAGCCAACTGTGGTCAAAGAAGATAACTGCTGTCTGTGTAACTTTGCAGCAATTCGATACATGTCAAAATTACATTCTAAAGATATTTTATTTGCTTCATTTGTAAACCATATATTTGAACTACCATTTTTTGTAACTGTTGATCATGAAACCAGTAGTATAGTTATTGCTATAAGAGGATCATTGTCAATGCGAGATATATTTACTGATTTGACTGCCATAGTAGAAAAATTAGATGCTCATGGTGTTCCATCTGATAGCTATGTAATATTAATAAATCTTAGAAATAACTAGAGGCCAATTTTATAAGTATATGAATTGTTTCAATTTAGGCTCATAAAGGAATGTTATGCAGCGCAAAATATATTAAAAAAGAATTAGAAGATCATAATGTTATAGAAAAGGCTTATACCAATTTTCCAGAATACAATCTTGTAATTACAGGTATGAGCTCTACAACTTTAACTATGAATAAATATAATATTTTTAACTTATTATTGATGAATAATGTTTAATTTATAATATTCAGGACATAGCTTAGGTGCGGGTACTGCAGTGCTCTTAGCATTTTATATGAGACCACTCTATCCTAATCTCAAAGTGTATGCCTTTGCTACACCAGGTAAATAACCCAGTTACTGTGTATATTATATTAAAATGGCTTATTAAGTCTTAAACATTGATTTTAGCTGGATTATTAAGTCGAGAAGCAGCACGAATAGCTGAAGAGTTCACTTTGTCTGTAGGTGTTGGTGACGATATGGTTATGCATATGACAATTGATAATGTTGAAGATTTACGAACAAATATGTTACAAGTACTACAATCATGTAGATTACCAAAAGTAAAGTTATTTTTAATATTTAAATTAATACATTAATATATTATTCCCATTAAGTAGATATAAAATTTTATATATACATAAATATTTATTCTAAATGTTATAATACTATTTTCAATATCTACTTTTGGGTCAACCTGATATCTATTAATGTTTTTAATCAATAAACATTTTAAAACTTTTTTCTTAAATTATTTTATTATATTTTGTTTTTAGTACCGGGTATTTTTAAATGGGTTTGGCTATGCATTATTCGGCGTACCATCAAGGGACCTTGAATCAACGTGGCGCCATCGGACTACTTCTGAAATGCGTAATTCTCCACTGTTATCTACACATTCACCTGTTCTGTCTATGATTACGCAGAATGATGGGTTCCCAACTGATACCATTAGTAATCATCATCTAGTCCCTACAACGTCATCATATCCTAATGATCAACCAATTTCTATTTCATCTACTTATAATGTAATTATGCCCTTCAGTACACTTAAAAAGTTTATAAAAAAAAATTTATTTTAATTGATGAAACTTTTAATTTTTAATATCAGTTAATAAAATAATTAAACTTATTATTCTTATTCTTAGGAATTAGCAGCCAGAAGGTACTCAAAAATTCGTTTGTATACTCCAGGGCATATACTACACATAACTAAGAAAAAGAAAAGTAAAGAACAAAAAAAAGCTGATAAGTATGTTCATAAACAACTAATTTTATTTATTTTTTAAAATATTATATTTTTGTACTGCATTTTATACATATTTATTTTAATTGTTCATAGAAAATCTGGAACAAACAGTAATGAATATAATTATGAAATGCGATGGGCCACTCCTGAAGATTTTAAAGAACTGAGAGTAATGCCCCGTATGTTATTGGATCATTTACCAGAAAATGTTTTAAAAACTCTTGACAATGTGCTTGAAGAACAAAAAACAGAAATCGGATTTGATTTAGCTCAATTAACTATGATCTAAGTACTAAAAAACAATTAATTACGTTATAAAACTAGAGCTTTGTTAAGTTCATGCTCAAATTCCTCTGTCCAATTATACACTAAGTTTAGGTATTATTATATTATTAAGTATAGTAAACAACAAAATTTTAATTTATATTTGAGTATTAAATATTTTTTATAACATTTACTTAAAAGGGAGTGGGGCATAATATATCCTACAAATATTGTAACTACAGTATTTTATGAATTGATGGTCTGATTACTGTGTGAATTGTGGTTGTTTATCTAAAATTATTATTAGAATCTCCTTAAATATAATCTTAACTTATTTGATTAAAAAGTTCATATCAACAAGTCAATCTCTAAATGTCGAAAATAAAGTTAAACTTCTATGGATTTGTATAAAATCTAATAGTAAAGTTTTCGATTTAGGTATAAGTATTATTTTAGTTATTAATTTTTTTTTTCATTTTTATTTATGATTATTGTTAATATAATTATTATTTCATATATATTTATATATTTTAAAACACTGTTTTGACCTCAACCCCTAATATTTTTTTTTTCAAATTGTACCTCCTATACAATTTTATGATTTTTATTTCAAAAAATCTTGATAGTATTATTATTTATATGTATATATACTGATGTACTTAAACTCATTGAATACATTCAATTGAAATTTTATTCTGTTTGTAGCCAATAAGTGTATTGGTTAACAGAACTAGTAATCTGTGATAACTTGTATGTGTTAAGAAAAAATTTACTGATAAGCGTACGTATTATTATATAAATATATAAATTATATAAATTATTATATTTTTTGTAACAAATTCTGAGATTATATTTAATTCACAATGGCCTGAATTATATTATTATAATATAATATATTTTATTATAAAATAATAGTAATATTTTTATAAATATGAAATGTTAAATGTTATTGTATCCTTATTCTATTTTATACATTAAGAACAGATGTTCATTTCTTTACTTTTTACTTTCCTAATCCATGTAATAAAATCAATACATTCTTTAGTCTCTCATCCTCATTACCATAGTAACTATTGTAAACAAAGTAATATACTGTATCTGACATCAGCTTGTTTCACTTGAGCAATAAAAGAAAAAAAAGAAAAGAAAAATATACCTATCTTATTTATTTAATTTTTTTAAATTATATCACCCTCATTGTCGATATGAGCTGTAATAATTATTGCAATGTATATAATTATGAATATCATACGCCTACAGAGTGGCGATATAACAGTGAACAAGAAATCACTGCAGCAGAAGAACAACGAGAACTGGCCCAAAGGTTGACACTTGAGGCCGATCGGTTAGTTGGTCAAGCTAAGGATTCTGTGATGAAAAATAAATTGGACATTGATTACCAGTCTAAAGTGAAAGTTAAGGACTTAGAATACAAATGTAAGGAAATTGAAAAACAGAAAGTCGATCTGGATGAAGAAATTCGTTTGCTGTTGGGCTATCAGATGCGCATCGAAAATGCCAACAAATGGCTTATCGGTGATGCTCTGGACGTCATTGCTGAATGTCTTAGGTTAAGGTGAGAATGACATCAAAAAAACGTAGTTCAATATTACATGATAAGTAGGGATATATTTATTTCCATGTCCTCTATTTATAGCTAGGTATGTTAAAAATCTATTCTATAACCTAGTAAGTTTATATTTATAGTTTATTATTTGCATATTTTTGTATATTTTAGTATTTTTTTTCAATAATAGCATATTAATGATTTTTCGAGCACATAAATGCATTTTTAGTAAATTTGTATTTATTTTCAATATATAATTTGGTTTACTCTAAATACGCCTGTACGTATACCATCAACAGATGTAGAAAGTTTTTTCCGTTATAAAAATATTCTGTCGGACAATCGTCGTCGGTTAGATGTTGAAAATTAAAAAAAAGCTTTGGTGGTCTAGAGCAACAAATTTAATTTATAAATGTAATAATACATTATTTATAGATATAATTTAAGTTAATAGATGCATTTATTTTTTTGGTTTTAAAATTATTCAATAATATATGTTAAGTAAAAATAGTATAATAATATAAAAAAAATTGTTGCTTATTTTTTGATATATTTTCGTGTTTTATTTTGTGCATATTTTGTCAATTTTACCTTTTATAACTTCTCATCCTTAATAATAAATAATACGCATATTGTCTGAACAAAATCAGGATGATATATTAAACTAGCTACGCAAATTTAAATGTTTTGTATTTAAAAAAAAAAAAAAATGTCTAGTCTAATATTTACTATTTTTTATAATAGTGGTTTTATAATGGACATACTATTTTTATGGTGAATCTTTGCAATTTTCACTCCGCTCATCCAAACTTTTTAAAGTTATAAAGAAAAAACCGTACAATGTTTTATGTATCATTATACATTGATATTTTATTAGTAAATATTTGCTGCTAATTATAATTTAAAATATTGTAAAGCCTAAAAATCCACTAATAAAATATAGTACATTATTTTTTTTTTTAAACACAAAAATTATCTTTTAAAATTAATATCTTCGTATGTTATACGTCTTCACACACAGAAACTGTCGACAAAATATAGATTTGGTGTTTGATGATGTTGAGAAAGAACTGTTACGAGAACGTGAACTGATCTTGGGCATAAAGGATCAACTTGAAGATTTGCAAGACAAGGTTGTGTTACAGATCAGAAAACTGAGAACATTCGTTTACAACTTGACTGTGGATTTACGTTTTAAGGAAAATGCGTTAAAAATTGAAAAGCAAAACGAAAATCTTAACGAAACCACTGTCGATAAATCAATTTTGAACAACAAAAACATATTCAAACCTGCGTGAGTATTTTACCGTTGCTATGACGTTTTTCCTATCCGTGAAAGTTAGTAAGTATCCCACCAAGGTCATTCACAAAATGGGTACGTCGTAAATGTCTATTTGCATCGTATTTTTTTCGTAACTATGATATGTATAATTTATAAATAATTATATTTTTATACTTATTGTGTTATATACTAAGGAAATCATTAATTATTGTAGAAAGGATGATATAAAGGTTCTCTCCTAATTTCTCACATGTATTCTCGGGCCTTTATTTCTTATTAGCCATCATCTAAACAATCGTTATATCTTACATTTATAATAGTATTATAGTATATTCGACGATAAATGTAATACGAAATATTTTAAAAGTGCGTGATCTTGAATTTTTATGTGGATTGTTTTCACTGCATACGTATTAAAAAATTTCAATTTGTAATCCTTTGCTGCGTGTGCAAAGCGAAACAAAATCTATTGAGATGCAACACCACTTTTTGAGCTTGAATTTGAATTAACTATTTTGTTAAAATAACTACCTATTTTAATAATTTAACTGATTAAAAGCGAATCATAATATTATGAAATCACTTGCAATTAAATATACATTCGTTAACGAACTCCCTCTCAATCAATCAATTTTTAAAATGGAAAAAACTTTACAAGTAAAAATATAATGTAACTCAAATTCAAGCTTAAAATAGGGAATTACTATTCAAAATATTGTATTTTCTGAGAATAGGTGAAAAAAATGTTGAAAATAAAATTATAATTAATAAGTCTAATAAAAAAGTCGATCTTAATAAAAAATGCAGTAAAAAAAAAAAAACATAAATCAAATTCAAGGTTACGAAGCGGTACAGATTTAAAGTATTTCGTACTACCTTTATTTTAATGTAAGTACAATACTTGAATATAATATAAAACGAAATTAATTATATTTCTTCGTATTCATATTATTTATATGCAGTACGATTTCAACCTCGGAATGGGATTGGTTCACATTAGACATAATTTCAGCAGCCAATAAAATACTAGTTGACAGTCGACCCATTCGTGTATTTTTTGATAAGTGTCTGGATAAAATGCTCGAGGACTTGGTAGGCCAATCGGCCGCAGTCGACCTGGCATTTAAATTGCGAGTGGAAGAATACGTTGAAGTAATTGATAAACTGAACGAACAAAGAATTGAAGTACGTTTCTGATCACCCTATATTATTTATATCTGCCTATAATCCTAATCTCGTATAAAGTGAATAATAATAATATTATATTATGTTTCTTGTAAGTTTCCCACGTAGAATTATATACGAATACAACGCATATAAATTAACTAATGACTAATGATTTTCGCCTAATGAGTGCTTGTCTGTGTATTCGTAAATAGTACCTACTATATAATACAATGAACGCTCCGTTTACCTACATTTGTTTACTTATAGCTGATTGTTATGATTTTTATAAGCTCGTTAATTATTATAGTGATTAAATAATAAAGAGTTAGATGTAAAACACTACGTAAAAGTCGTGACTCTAGATACACTTTATTTACTTATTTCATACATTTTAACTTTATGTTTAAATATTATTGCCTATTTGTACAATCGAAAAAACAAATGTTTATTTAATATTTTAATATACTCACGACGATATATTACTAATTCAATAATATTAATAATGCAAAATATATCAATAATTTTGAAGAAGATTTCTATTTTTCACGATTAAAAATCAAAAACATAGATTATCTTTAAAAAATATCTTAAAATATCGTTATCGATTAAATGTTATTAAATTAATTATAATTATGTATAAAATTTGTCTCTTTATTGCGTCGCCACTTCAATATATATGCATATATATAAACAATGTTCTTATATACATGAAATCTTGCAACAGTTTATTATATGTGATGCAATCCAATTTACAGACGGTTAAAAATCTCGAAGAAGTACAAGAAACAATCGAAAAACTGAAAAATTCTATAGACGACAGGGAGACATACTTAGCGCTAGCCCACGCGCGGCTGTTAAACAGGACGCGAAGGGAGGGCGTCGAACTGTGCCGGGATGAGTTGGAATTGAGACTGTACAACGAGGTAGTCCAATTGGAACATGACGTGAAAAGTCTGCAAAATATGATGGCTGAATCTGTGGAATGCCGTAGACGTCTCAAACAGTCCACTGCCCGTATCGATGAGCAGCTGCAAGTCAAACAGAAATCGTTGCATATCGACAACGAGCTGTGCATCGAGCAACGAAAACGCATCAACTACCGAGCTTTTTGAAATACTCGTCGGATGCGAATCCATAGATTGTTTTTTTTTTTTTTGTGAAAATGGGATAAAATCGTATGCTTAATTTTTTCTCCCTAACCCTACCTTTATTAACATATAATTTATTTACTAACATTTTTCTTTATATAAATCATATTTATGATAGTATTAGAATCGTTATATACGATTCAGACAGGCGCGGATTCTGTAGAGGGTGAGCCGGATGGTCCCGGGTCCACCCGAAATATTTAAAAACAATAAATTTAATTTTGAATATTGGCATTCAAGCTATTATTTTAGAATTTTTATTAGTATATTAACCAAATAGGTTGGTTTTATTTTGTTTTTTTAGCTATTTCTTAAGATTAAGGCATACCTAATTGCATACCTATATTTTATTTTAATAGCAGTGAAGAGTTAATACAAAATCCAGATAGACGAAGTTTTAAATAAATTTGCCCGTGATAAGTTAAGAAAATTACATTTTCCCGCGAAACTGTATTTCAATATTTTTATTATTTTTTTTTCTATTATTATTACTGAACTATTTATTGAAACATTTATGATTAAATGAAAATTATTCTTAATTAAATCATAATTTTACTGTATTATCTTTTGTGGTTAAATTTACGGGCCCACCCAAAAAAATATTCCTGGATTCAGAATTAATGTAATCGCCTAATATAGTTGTACCTATTACCCCCGATACACATTGCCCTATAGGCTATAGTGCCGTATATATTCACGCTTATGTTAAAAATAGTATTTACTTCATGATATCTTGTTTCTGATTAGCGATTCACTTCCAAGAGGATGGGTGATTAGTCGACATAGCAGTATATACTACATAATATTGAATTTATTGTGGCTTTATTTTTGTATATCTAATTGTAAAAAAAAAAAAGAATTGATTAGATAATAATGATAAGAAAACTGCAGAACATTAAAAACTATGTAGTCTTAAAATCTATTGTGTATTTTGATAATATATAAGTTATTAATACAAATACTATATGTACACAAAATGTATAAATATTAAATAGAGTACATCGCTCATGTATGCTTTGAGCATAGTTTGTCTCATCTTCGTGTCCTCCTTATTTACACCGTTGCAATAATTCGCATTTACTTTAAGTATAAGTTCTGCTGTAGAATTATGATCGTATGAGTGTTTTGTTTAGGTTATACTAAGAGTAAACTACCGTCGTCTATGCATTTTTATGTTTTTATATTCTTCGAAAAATCCTCAATGCTGACAAACAAATATCTTAGTGGATGTGAAATTTGGTAACGAAAATAACATGTTCAACTTACATTATAATTAGTGGGGTACTGATATTATCCGTTTTAATTATACAATTTACAGTTATGCATTACTGCGTATAACTGCGTATTTGTATATACATTTTATATCTATACAAAAATACTTACTACGTGTTTGCATACGAGAGTGAGTTACTACTTGAATAAAAAGCAACGTATAATTTAATATGTATGTATACGTCGTGATAACTGTAGCAAGGTGGTTTTAAAGAAAAAATAGGATTACAATTGTAGTCTATTAAAGATTAGATGAAATAAAAAATTTAAAATGTTAACAATAAAAATAGTATATCAAAGCTGAACTAGATTTGTGTAGTCTATATATGAGTGTTAAATTAAATAAGTAATTAAATTATTAAGATTAATTTGTTGTTTTTACATAGAAAGCATAGTATCGTTAAAATATAGTTATTAGACTAAGTAAAACATTCCAGACATCGTGTATGTAATTATTTATTGGTCATTATTATGATAATATGTCATCTTCCCAAGTACTATGTTATTATATTAATTTTAAATTATTTTCAATAATTCACCTGTATACACAGTAATTACTTCTAAACTTAGGTAATTAATCTATTTAAGCAAGATTACTATTTACTTATAAATAATATAAAATATACTAAATAAAGGTACTTGATTAAGAAAGAATATTATAAAACAGACTATAATTTATTATAATGCGTGGTCATGTCGTATTATCATAATTATTTTATATTTATCAAAAACTAAAATTTTTGATGTTTGAGTGGACGTGTTTGCGTTATTGATTATTTTGCATATTTATGCAAAAGCAAATATGATAGATACTGTCAGAGTACGCCGCTGTAGAACATAACAACAGTCAAATCGATGGCACGTGCCTCTAAGGATATCCATGCCAAACTCAGCTAATCTAACCTACAAGGTGATTCACTAAGCATTCTCGCCATTGTTTTTCTTCAATTATAAATTTATTCAAAATCTGATTTTGAATTTTTAAATAAACATAAAAATTATATTTTCTAATTCTTAAGGTTTTTTTTTTTTTTTTATACTACTTAAGAAGTATCCTGTAAAGATGTAAACTACCTATATCAAAATTTATAATTTTTAAATAAGGGCAAAGTATAATCAATACTATAGGATCTATATTAAATTTATTTTACATTATTTTTTTTTTTTTTCGTAAAACCATTTTTAACTTAAAAATTTTAATAACTGTAAAACTATTTACTCGTTAAAGAATTTTGAAATAAATACATAACAATATTCAAATAAATTATCCACTAAATAATTTATAGTAAAAAGGTGGGTTCTCTTTTGAAAAACAGATATTTATATCACCGCAGAACACTGCTCAAGTAGTACAAAAACTCTGAAAGATTTGAAAATCAAAATTTAAATAAATTAATTATTAAAGGGAAAAAAGGAGGATGAGCATGATCAGTGAATCAATCGTTCTGTATAAATGTCTCACTAACGCGTATGTGTACACCACAAACCTATACTAATAATAATAATTTGATACGGCGAAGATACGCAGGCCTCGACGATCGATCGATACTTATTATGATGGTTGCTGCGCAGCGATTGCTATTCCCTCCCACATACGTATAGTGTATACAGGGTATACTACAGGGTAAGATCTGACAATTTTACATTGATATACAAGTGGATTTAATACCTATACGATTAATACGCGCATGATATGATCTGATAAAATTTTAATAATGGTGTTTTTATAATTTTTTTAATTACAACCATTTCCTTCACTGTACCATGTAGTTTTTTTATACTTTTTTTAAAGCCATGAGGGACTTAACGGATTATGGTAGTACGATATACCATTGTACTAAAAATGGCCACGTATTTACTATTTTCATTTGACAAACATAATAAATATAAACGTAATTTTATAATTTTTTTCGATTAATTTAATATCTATACCTAATTTCTGATTGCGTATCAGAAATGTATATATACTAAAGATATTATATCGGTTGCGTATATTTCATAAAATTTAGTATTGCCTTTTTTACAAATTTTTCATTTTTGTTTAAATAATATCTATAAGGTGTGAGATGTCCCTAATTTTTTATTTAGAATATTTATTGCAGATACCAGATTATATAGATACAGATTGTTTTAAATATAAATATAAATTTTATAGGCAATTCGCTGGTAATGGATTAAATCCTATAAAACTTGGTATATTTTTAAATATGGTTCAATGTTTTGACTCTTAAGATTTTCCTGATATTTCTAGAAACAATATCCGAAACTTTTGTCAAAATCAAAAGGATAGTTTTTTAATCTATAAGCAATGAGCTACAACTAGAACAAGCATATAAGTATTAAGTCCATTGCATTTTGCTATACATTTGAATAATAAACAATAAATTAAATATACATTTTTTTAACTATTAGAAACATTTTAGCAACCCTATACGGCTATACAGTAGGTATACATAAACCAGAAAATTATTCGATTCTCTTGAGTTAAAACGAATTTCATGTGAAACTATTGTATAGCCATTCTGTGCTACTTATTATACGAATTGAAAAAATAAGCTTTTAACACCCTCCAAATCTTAAGAAATCTATTAATATTCCTTTAATTGAAATAGATTCAGAAGTTTCTAAGATTATTACGCGTTCAAACACATACAAACTCTTCATGTTTGCATAATACTAGACATTAGTAAAGTCAATAAAAATAAATAAACGTTAAAAAATAATAATCACTCCGTTTGTCTATCGTTTAGTACCAATATATTTTTGTGAACTGTGTTTATGTAGTCACTGTTAAATGTTTAGGTACATACGAGTATAATATTATAGATATTAGTAAATATTATTGAATTATACTGCAACACGTGTCAACAATACTAAACTGTTAGCATATATATGAAAATAAAATACAGCTAATGAAAATCAGAGTACTTCGACTAAAACTAAATCAAATAAATAAATAGGTACCTAAATATTTATAAAAGTACACATCAACATCAATAGTACAACTTAAAAGGTCTAGTAGGTAGAGTAGTTGATGGAACGATATGATACGAAAATGTGAAAAAATATGAATAAAAATCATGTACCAAAGTACCATCATATAGATAGATTATAGATAAACGACAATACTAATAGGTATATTCATTCAAATAATACTGATATAATTTAACTATGACGCTGTTATAGACCTGTATATACTTACAATATAACGTCCAACATTAGTAAATACTGAAACTATTATGGCTTTATTTTTATGTAAATGTATTTTTAAAAAAATATATATTTATAAAAATATTAACAAATTATCAACTGCACAATTAATAATATAAAATATTTAAGTAGACACCTTATAAAACTGCAAAATGTTATAAAACATATTCTTACACTCTAATATATGTATTTTCTAATATACATACACTATTAGTAAATACTAATACTAATATCCGTGGATACTTTTCAAGTTTTTATAAATTTTGTAAATGATTTATTATTGTTAATAATATGTACAGTACTTATTTGAGTAATGGGAAAAAATATGTGTACATCAATCATCCAATCTCTTGCACTATAAATAATAATTAAAATTTTATAAAAATATCAGAAATAATAATATGGTGATAGAGTTCACAAGTAATTTTAAATCCTAACACAAAATTGTGTTTGTAATTACCTACTCGGCTTCAAAATTAAAAAAAAAAAACTTAAAATTGATACTTATACCTTAACAACTTATTTTTTTCAATAAATTTTTTTAAATTAACTATAACCACTGTAATTTATCAAATTTCTTAACGCTTTCTTCCGAAAATCCAGATTTAAATATAATTCAAATCGAAGAAGGATTTTAGCTTCTGAATAGGTTGATATTAGTTCTTGAATGAGAAACAATGATGATTTATGTATAATTCGAATTTTCCTATAAAATATAAAAAATAATCATTGTAATGAAAATATAAACCATATTTTGAGCTTTATTGATTTCCATGCATTCATATTTGATAAATAAGGCCAATAAGGGAACTTTGAATGACTACACAAACATGGTAACTATACCAAGATTCCAATTTTCAAACATCTACACATCGCTGAATTCCACTACAAAATAACTTTTTTATGTGTGTGCCGTGAGGTGTAGACGAATAAACATAATATATAGGTAAAAAGTCGTTCCGTC